CGGGAACCAGGGCAATGTGAGTCAGTCTAGATTCAGGCCTGGGTGCCATGGGTCACTGTGAAGGCTCAAAGGGAAGCCCGCTCCAGGGCAGTGGGGAAGAAAGAGGGGTTCTGGTAGGAGTGGGTGGGCCACTGGGGCTCTGGGAAGACGCACAGTAATGGTGACACTGTGTGACCCTGGTAAAGGCTATGCTTGAAACCATCCTCTACTGGATCCCTCCCCAAGAGGGCTTTTTATTATATCCACTTCACAGAGGGCAGGGAGGCCCAGAGCAGTCGAGCAAGCAGATTGGAGCCCACGCTCCACACAGCCCTCAGGAGCCCCTCAGGAGGAGGTCCTTGAAAGGGCAGGCGGGTGCTCAATGCTGCTGTTAACACAGGTGACAGAGGGATGAGGACACCTCTGTGATCAGGATTAGGGTACTATTCTTTTAGGGGCACTTTTACATCTGCCACTGCCCTTCATCCTGAGTTTGGGGACAGCCAGGACTGCACCCCACGCCTGGGGACCTTACCATGAGACAACCCCCAAAGAAGACAGGGAGTGGTGCAGAGGGACCCAGGAGCATCGGTTGATAGCAGTAGGGGCTGACTCCCCTCCCCTGCACCTGTCTGTCACTTAATCAGTGGCTTCACCCACCGACCTGGAGACCCAGAATGTGGACCTGGTGCCAGCACCTTTGCCGAGTGCAGGCAGGGCCGGGTAGGTCGCCAAAGGAATGAGGATATGAGGCAGCAAAGGGCCCACCACACAGAACCTGACTCGCTCAGGTCCCACTGGGAAACACAGCCTGTCCTTCCTCTCCCTGCTGGGACATGCAGGCTCCTGAGCCTTAGGTGGGCGGAGCTACATCAGGCCCCGCCCAGTTCCAGGGTGGAGCCTGGTAGACTGTCTCCGGGCTCCACCCCTCTCCCATTGGCAAAGCAAAGGAGGTGCGAGGCACTAAGCGCCTTTGGGGTGAAGGGGCCAAATCTATACTGTAAGAGGCTGGGGAATTGTGTCGTGTCTTTACTTTCCTCTTCTTTCACTATTATTATTTCAACAAAGTCTCCAAATAGGGGGTTGTGTCTCCAGGGATTTAACTTAGAGGCATCAACTTTTGCCCAGAGATGGAGACTGGCCTGTCTGGCGGTGGCAACCATTGGGGGTGGAGCGAGGGCTCCCACAAGCTTTAAACCCTTCTGCCACTCCCTGGGTGACCTTTCAGATCCGTTTTCCCTCGGGATGCATGGGGCGGGCTCTGGAGCCAGGCAAACTGGGTTCCAGCCCCACTCCGCCACCCCTCCCTCTGCTCCCGACAACACCACTGTCCCTGTCTGTAATGCGTTCGTTGTGTCCTGAGATGACTCAGTGTCCTGGAGAGAAAGCGGCAGAAGTCGCTGTGCTCTCAAGGGGGAGTGTGATCGATGAATAAGTGAGGAGGCCGTGGGCTGGCATGAAGCTGGGGACAGGCAGCACGGGTTCGGGGTGTCACTAGTGACCTCTCTGAGAAGGAAGTGGAGGACCAGGTGTACTGCAGGGCTCTGTGAGCAGAATGCTCAGCACAGCAGACCGCAGACCTGGTGTGGCCCATGAGGATCTGGTAGTGATCCTGGGGGAGCAAAAGGTGGCTTGGAGGTACACAGAAGGGTTCCTGACCCAGAGAATTAGGGGTTAGGTCTTGACAAACCCATCCAAAGCAATGCATCGAGTACTCCTCCCCTACGGAGCCCAGCCTCTCTTAAACACGCTCAAAACCTTTCCTGGGGCTACTGTCAGCTAACCATGCCTGCTTTATTAGGAGCTGAGTGTCCTGTGTTGTGGCTACCACTCTGAAAGCAAAACACAGAACACTGGATGGGGACATTATCAGCCCTTGTAAAGTTGGGAAAGCTTAAGCTAAACCATCATAAATAAGTAGGGGACCATCTGGACTTTTAAGACAAAGACACTAAGCACTGAAAACACTTCCTAATTGTCTTACTGCATCCTACCATTATTTATGCATGGTGGAGTAGTTCTTTCCCACACACATTCCCCCAAACTCAGTTCAGTGGCTTTGGGGCTGGGAACTCCAAGCCCTGCAGAGTGGAATCATTTAAGCCACAAAAGCTGTGAAGGGTGGGTGGCTAGGGAGATGGCTCAGTAGAATAAGTGTTTCCCTGGCAAGTGCAGGGGTCTGAGTTCAATCCCTAGTTCCACCAAAAAAAAAAAGACAAGAAAAGCTTGTTGATTGTCCAGCCTTGAGTAAATGATTGGGAAACATTGATGCAAATGAACCTTAAATGTGTATTGGTCTACAACCATTGCATTGGGGTTAGCGCACACACACACACACACACACACACACACAAAGATGGCTTCCTCCCCCTCCCCCGTTATGATTCTGCAAAGAAGGCACTGAGGGAGTGACACTGGGCACGCTTTTTTCACTTTACTTGTGAATAGCAGCAGAAATATGACCCTGCATGCATGTCACAAGACAGATGTAGGGGCTGGTGAGATGGCTCAGTGGTCTAAAGCACCTACTTAGAACAAGCTTAGCAAAGCACAGGGACTGCGGTTCAATTCCCCAGCACATGCCAGCCAGCCCTGCCCCCTGGTGGGCTGAGCTGGCCACACACACACACACACACACACACACACATAAATAAAAAATTAAAAAAAAAATAAGACAGATGTAGTGATATTAAGTGGATTGGGAGAAAAATTAGTACATTGGGATGCAACGCACTTGCTAAGTAATTATCCAACTACCCCCAGTACAACCACAGTTGGCTACAGTGGCAATGAGTGAGCTATGTGGAATTTATGACACATTTTATAACAAAGAGCAACATATATAACATTATCACCTGTACACTGTGATACACATCACTTAGATCCACAAAATTTCTAATAGATACATACGCACATTTCCCCTTCACTGAGGGCCAGTGAGCGGACATCACTAGCTCATCTCTGCTTGGAGTTCAGGGGTTGGAGCCATGAGCGGGAACAGCAGAGCACACGGAGAAGCGGCCGGGGGAAAGAGAAGAATAAGCAGTGTGTCACATCCCCGTGGCCGGATGGAGACGTGTTTTGAGAAGGAAGAGGACAGATGATTAGCTGAACCAAGGGTCTCTGCTGATCAACAAGCCCAAGATGCCCAAGGACCCCTGGGTTTGCTTACAGAGCAATTTCAGTGGCAGGGTAGGGAGGGAAGCTTGACTGGAGGAAGATTTCAGAAGCCACAGGGACTGCAGGAACACACATCCACAGAGTGCTCCTGGAGAGGGCGCCAAAGAGATGGGGTGGGTGGTGAAGGGAGCCCTGGGTTTAGGACCCCTGGCGATTATAGCACATCTGCCTACTGGGTGCAGAATATGGAGAAAGGCAGAACTGGGCAGAGGCCTCGTCTTGGGCAAGCTCATCTCTCATCAGGAGGGCAGGCGTGAGGGCTGGGGAGATAGTTCAGCGGGCTAAGCACCTGCATAGGCAAGCACAGGGACCAGAGTTCAATCCCTCCTATCTATTGCATGGTGCGCCGGCCTGCCCCTGGGCCCACTCCCAGGAACGGGAGTGGTGGCGCACATCTGTAATCCCAGAGGTGCAGAGGCTGAAAACAAGGATCACTACGAGTCTGAGCCGTGGAGTGTGGAATGGTTTCCTGGAACAGTGTCGGGCCTTGGGGATTCAGAGACCACAAACACAGGACAGCCACAGCGGCACATGGGAGCAGGTGCTGGGGGGACCATGGTGGGAACTAAGCTAGGCCTCCACCAGGGGAAAGGTGAGATTGGAACAAGTATGGGTACTATTAGTTGGGAGTGGTGCGTGAAAGGAAGTCAGGATGAGCAGGTGGAGCCGGTTCAGTGTCCCAGGGCCACAGCCGCAGTGGGGCGGAGGCTTGGCGCCTTTGGCAGGGTAACAGGGAGCTGATGTCTGAGGGGTGCAGGCAGGGGAGTGGGATAACAACACTTGCTTGGCTGGGCTGTGGTATGGCTTCTCCAGAGGATTTAGTATCTGTGTAGGTTTTGGGGGGATTGAGGGGACAGTATAAAAGGACCCCTCCAGTGGCATCTTTGTAGTCAAGCAGAAGTCTGTAAATGGACCTGACCTTGGTGCTGACCCTTTGGAGGGACGTGTGGGTGACAGTGGAGAGCCTTGATATGCAAACCCTGACATGTATAGCAGACTCTCTTCCAGGTGTGGACTCCCCCTGGAGCCCCCAAACCACCTGGAGCCTGGCACAGAAGCTTCACGTGTACTGGGGGTCTGAAGGGCAAGATGCCACCCCAAGGCCCTGTTGCTAGGGTTTGGTGCCCTGTAGCCTGCATCTATGGAGTGCCTCCTCCCCTGCTGTGGTGGCAGCAGCTGGCTTCAAGAGGAGTGGGACAGAGGCCTAGCAGCTGGGGCCCAGGCAGACAGGAGCCTCTTGGTCTCCCCTGGAGCCCAGAGCTCTGGGGTGCCTGGTGGATGAAGTTGTATCGGGTCAGGGAGAGGGTGCACTGGACACTGCCAGTCAAGGGCTCTACCTTATACAGGGCAGACAGACCTGAGACCCCTGCAGGGGGTAAGGAAGTACAACCCCATTCATTTATTAATGCACAGAGTGTAGATCAGGCCCTGTGTAAGTCCTGAGGAGACAGCAGCGAGCAAGACTCCCTGTCCTGGTGGATCTGAGCTAGTGAGAGACAACGGACAGGACAAGGGAAAGGCTGAGGGGAGAAGACAGGTGCTGAGTGGCATGGTGGGGCCTGCTTGAGAAGGAGATGTTTAATCAGAGCCCTAAAGTTTGAGGTGGTGAGCTCTGGGGAAACTGAGGAACAGCCTCCTCTGTAAAGGAAACATCCGTACAAAGGCCCTGAGGCTACATAGCCTGCATCTTTGGGGGCCGATAGGAAGCTCAGAGTGGCTGAAGCCAAGAGAGACTTGGGGGTGGGCGCCTCTCAGGCAGTTGTTAAGGAGTAGCCTGGCCTGTCGCCCCACTGCGGCTGCCCCCCTGAGCCCTGGCTCTCTTCCTCTTCCTTCTCTGCCAGAGATGTGCCTAGGGGTGCCAAGACCTTCAGGGTCTCTGCAAGCTCTAAGGTGGAGGTCTTAATGGACTATGATTCCAGACGAGTGGCAGAACCCACAGGCAAAGCCCACTGGCCTCTGGATGCCAACGTGGATGTGGTCATATCCGTGGACACAGCCAGTAAGGAATTAAATGACCTCAAGGTAAGAGCTATTCCCTCATGGTGAGGGGCTGGGTCTCCCCTATACGACCCTGACCAATGGTGTGAGCCCCCATAGCTTCCCATGCCTGCATCACCTCCACATCCATACCACACAACATCTCCACAGGCACCCTAATCCACAGGATCCCCTCCCCCCTGCACCTACTGACACACAAGGGCACACGGGATCCCACAGAGATCTGAGGCTCTGGGTCTCCCCTCCAATTCAGGAGAGCCCTGGTTGATGCTGCAGTTTGCCCATACTCAGGCCCCAGAAGAAGCCCCCTCCCCGGCGTATACAGGGCCATGCCCCACAACCACACACCTCTCTCTGTGCCCCTGCGCATGTGCCTCCCATCCTCCTGTGGATACTGTCCCCTTAAGACCGTACCCCATACTCAGTGGCCCCACTTGTCCCATCACCCATCCTGCCAGGCCTCCTGGCTCCTCCAACTAGCTCAGGGCCAGGGTAGCACCAGCTTCCATCTGAGGAAGCCGGGCATCCCCTGCCACCAAGCAGGGCCGCAGACTAAGTGCCCCTTCCCTGCAGCTGCCCTCTCTGGGGAGTGACCTTGCCCTGTGAGCTCAGGGCTGACTTCATTCCCACAGGTGAAGGTGTCATATTTCAAGCAGCAGGAAGAGGATCCCTTGGGCCACAGTGTGCTCTACCTGACTGCCGTGGGTATGTCCTGTCCCTAGACTCTGCACAGGTGACTGGTAGAGAGGTGTGGTGGAGTGAGGGTGCCACGGGAACACAATGGCTGGGGCTGCAAGAGCCTGGAAAGTTTCTTGCTACTGACTAAGGTCTCCAGTACCAGTCTCCCTGGGCCCAGACGGGACCTGCAGGACCCAGTGTGACATTGTGGAAGCCACGTGGCCTGTCAGTTAGAAAGCCCTGGGCAGGCCACTTCAAGCATGACAGCACCCGGCTGTGGGACCTGGCTACCCCCAGTGGCCAGGGTTCAGGGCTACCAGCAACGGCAAATCATTCTAGAGCCAAAGGCCTGTGTCCCTCCTTGGTTAGAGACAGTCCCCAGGGCTGCACTCCTGGGCCTCAGCGGGGGGCAGAGAGGGGGCGGAGCTTGCCTGCCCTGGATGGGAGGGCTACGAGGACAGTGGCTGCTTCCTAACCCTTTCTAGATATTTCTCTCGATGTTGATGCCAGCCGCACAGGCAAGGTGAAAAGGCGCCGAGGGGACAAGGTGAGGCTCTCTGACCGCCCAGGGATCTCTCACAGCTGTTGTCACTGTGACACAAGTCCACGTTAGCCCACACCTCTGTGGCTGTGGGAAGACAGCGCCCCCCTCTGGTCTCTCCCGTGCTGACTGGATTGGAATCTGTCTTTTCCGCTTGGGGAACTGTGTTTGGACCCCTTAAACAGGGTGGGCACTTCATGCAATGTTGTTGAGCAACTGAATGAGCTCTTTCTGGTAGAGATGAGTGTAGTCAGCCCCAGTTAGAACATGAAAAGGGAAGAGGACAATGTGGTGGGGGGTGGGCTTGGGGCTTTATCCCAAAGAAGTACCTGGAAGATGGCCTGGGAGAGGTAGAAAGGAAGCACCCTAGAAAAGCAGCTTGGGTCACAAAGCTTTATAGACGAGGAGGGCAGAGCTGCCATGGGGGCCATGCATGCTGTTCATCAGACAAGGCTGGGGTGACTGTGGGTCTAGCACCCCCCTGAGGGCTCCAGTCGTCAAGCGTAGGACCCAGCTTTAAATCTAGGTAAACCCAGAACACCAAAGTCCCCCAGCCAGCCCAGCAAGCAGCCCAGGCTACACACAGCGCCCCTTCCTGCCACCCCTTGGTCCCACTGACCTCAGACGTTCTTGATTTGCTGCAGAAAACCTGGCGCTGGGGCCCCGAGGGCCACGGGGCCATTTTGCTGGTGAACTGCGACAAGGACAGCCGCGGGCCTGGGCAGCCTGATCTGTACAGCAGCCAGCCGGTGTCCCTGGATGGTAGTGACAGAGGTGCCAGGGTGGAGAGGGGGTCCTGCTGGAGGGGTGCGGGAAGGTTGCCTCAAGGGGGCCGCTCCCCCAGACCTGCAGGACATGTCCCCCATCGTGCTGACCTGCGACGGCCCTGATGAGCTCTTTGACAGACACGAGCTGATCCTGAGCGTGTCCTTGCCTGACTCCAGGAGGGTGCGGGTCTTCTGTGCTCAGGGTGAGTGGCTGGGGAGCCTCTTCGGTCCCCTCCTCCATCCTCCCTCCGATCCCGTTGGCCCTGTTCCTCCCACTGTCCCCCAGACTGTCACAGAAGCCTGCTAACAGCTTCTCTGTCTGCATTTTGGGCTCCCACAGTGGGCTCAGCCTCTGGTCCCCCCCCTTTTTTTTTGGCACAAGGTCTCACTATGTAGCTCAGCCTGGCCTTGAACTCACAGCGACCGCTCTGCCTCAGCCTCTTGAGTGCTGGGATTACAGGCGTGTGCCACCGTGCCTGACCTCTAGTCCCATTTTACAGGGAGGGAAACTGAGGCTCAGGTGAACAAGCTCACTGGCTTGTTAACCATTTGGGTTTGGGGGAAGTAGGTTTCCAACCAGGTGTCTTGGGGCCACAGCACCTCCTCTTTGACAACTGTGCAGGCAGCACTCTTGGTGCTGTCCCACCTTTCTCTGGTCCCCACCACCCCATCCGCTACATTGCCCAGGCTGGGCTCCACCCTGGGATCCTCCTGCCTTTGCCTCCCAGGTATGTACCTCCAGGCCCAGCGACTCCCTCACTTCTGGGGTTGAATAGTGTTCCATCTCAGAGGAGCACCACACCTCATACACTTTGTTTATCTTCATCCACGGAGAGGCAGTTGGGTGTGTTTTCACCTTCAGCACCGGGTGCTCTTTGTTCTTTATGCAGTTTAAAGTTTACCTTAGCCCATTCTAGGTAGAAGGAACTGAGGCACAGAGAGGTTGAGCCACTGAGCCAATGAAAAGACTTGGAGAGAAACCCAAGTAGCCCTAACCGAAAAGGCGACTCTAGCCCTGCGTTCCCGACGGTGGCTGTGTCATTGGCCTTGGTGGGTTCCCCCTCTTCCCCCAGTCGGTCCCAGCAAGGTCCTGACTGTGGTTTTCCCTAGGCGGAACTTCCATCTCTGACTACAAGCAGGTGCTCGGGCCCAGGCACCCGTCCTACCAGGTGGAGCGGCAGCCAGGGGAGCGGGAGATCAGATTCTGTGCCGAGGGCCTCGCCTTTCCGGACACTGAATTCCCAGGGCTGGTCTCCCTCAGCGTCAGCCTGATGGATACAGCGGTAGGCCAGTGCTGGTGCGGGGCATGGTGGCGAGGGGCTTGGGGGCCCCATCCATCTGGTGGGCTGCGGTCCCCATAAAGCCACTGAGTGCCCCTTTCTCCCCAGCCCCTGCCCGAGGTGCTTCTCTTCACAGACACTGTGACCTTCCGTGTGGCACCTTGGATCATGACCCCCAACACCCAGCCGCCCATAGAGCTATACGTGTGCAGGTGAGCCCCATCCCTGCCTCTGGCCCTGTCACCAGCTTGGTAAGGCGACCCTGGGGTGGCTGCAGAGCACAGCTGGGCACAGGACAGCAGCAGGTGGTCCAGGGGCCCTGCCCTGAGCAGCTAGGTTCTGGCCAGGGCCACAGGCTCAAGCTTCACCATCTTGTCCCCCACCTCGGTCCTGCCACACAGCCCAGAGCACATTAGATTTGGTCCAGGCAGCGGGGCCAGGCCCAGCTCAGGCTGCTATGGGCCATGGGAGGCTCAGTTCCTTCTGACCAGGCTATCCCAATGCCTGCTGGAGACAGGGACCCTACTTCCAGGGCCCACCAGGGTAAAGCCACCACCTGGTGCTAAGGTGCCTTCAGTGTCAGAGGTCAGACCCACGGAAAGGGCTGGGTCTGAGCAGGGCAGAAATGGAAGTTAGCAAAGGACACAGCCAGGCAGGCTGGTTCTGCCCGCCAGGCCTAGGTGCTTGCGGGTATTGACAAGGAAGCCCCCCTACTCCTGCAGGCTCCTCTCTGTCCCCACCCTGACCCTTGCTGAGGTCCTCTCCTCCCTGGAAGATGCAGCCCCAGGTCACCTCCACAGCCACCCCTGACCACCTGTCCTTACTGCCTGCACTGGACACGGGTCACAGATAGCTGGGACCCCCAGCTGTCCACTGTCCATCAGCCTGTGAGCCTCTCTTAAGACAGGGACTGTACCTGAAGCTCTGTATCCCAGGGGCTACACGGGGCCCAGCAGCCTGACTCAAGGTCATGGCTAGAGGTCATCATCACACTCCTTCTGTGTCTTTTGCAGTGTCACAGATGCACATGGCTCCAACGAGAAGTTTCTGGACGACATGGCTTACCTGGCACTGAAAGCCAACTGCAAGCTGGTCATCTGCCCCCGGGTGGAGAACCGCAATGACCGCTGGATCCAGGTGGGTGCCAAAAGGACTCTGCCGAAAGGACCCTGTCCTACAGTGAAGCTTGGGCATGGGGTACCACTGCTTCAGCCGCTGTAAGGAGCCAGGGACCCAGCCCTCTCCTGGGGGGGGGTCCTGGGGCCTCCCTGCTGCCCACCCCCAGGTCTTGGGGGGCCTGGTGCACCTAGTGCGGCACCCCCCCATGCTGTCAACCATCCTGCAGCTTTTTCTTCTCCCTGCAGGACGAGATGGAGTTTGGCTACATCGAGGTCCCTCACAAATCCTTCCCTGTGGTTTTTGACTCCCCCCGGAACAGAGGCCTGAGGGATTTCCCCTATAAGAAGATCCTGGTGTGTGGTACAGGACAGACATGGCGAAGATAGAAGGGCACAGGAGGCAGAGGGCCAGCAGTGGGAGTCAGCAGATGAGTGGCAGGGGTTGCAAACTAGATGCAAATTTTATGCAAATAAGCAAACTGTCCCATGGCCCCTCCCCTCTTCTGGGAGGGGCAGAACAGCAAAGTCCTAGGTAAGGGACCTGTTCCCAGCAAGAAATTATAGAGGAGGTCAAACTGCTTTTTTTGGGTGGGTAGGGGTGGATATGCATGCTTAATGAGCCCTCACAGCTTTTGTTTTTAAGGGCTGGCATCTGTCTTCAGACAGCAAATGTTTCCTGAACACCTACCTTGTGCCGGGCACTGTACTGCCTCCTATGCACAAGGCTGGGGAGGTGGCAGCTGCCATCGGACACTGAGCTCCAGGCACTGACCCCTAGATTTCCCTGGGGTCTTCTGTGCAATTACTAATACGTATGGTCATACGGTTGAGGAAACTGAGGTTCAGGGATGTCCAGGCCGTGCAGTGAGTCTGCGGTGGCCTCACTGTGCCAAAGCGGGCAGGCTCCCTCTGCAGCCCCTGCACTCACCACTAAGCTACACCGCCTTTCAAGGTGGGCACTGTCTGTGCCTATTTCTGACCCCCATGGGAGCTGGGACCCCACGACAGGGAAGTCCTAGAGCCCGGGGTTACACAGAGCGGGGACGTTCACCCCAGCCTGGAAGGGTCAGGTGACAGTGAACCCTGCAGGGTGAGTGCATCAACCAGGGGCAGTGGGGTGGGGACCAGGCTTGGCGGGCAGATTCCTGGGGATGTTTCACTGACTCCTGCTCCGGCCGCTGCTGCTTCTATCTCCTTTCTTTGTGTTTAGCTTGTTGCTATTTTCTGGCTTGAAATGGAGGCTGCAACTGTATCCTTCCTTTCTCCTAATGCCTGTGTTCGGGCCTCCGTGTCCCCTCTTCTTACTCCTGTCAGGCCCCTCCACTTTTCCTGTGCTGTATTTTTATTACCCTTCCCATCCATCGGTGTCCTAACTTCTGCTTGGATTTCCTCTTTGGTCACGGGTTCTTCAAACACAAGCCGCTTCATTTCCGGAGGGTCCCCAGCTGTCTCTGGGGTTGGGGCTTAAATTTACACTGCAGGCTGTCCAGAGGGCAGGGCGATGTGGGAGAGGGGCTCCAGGTGTTTTCCAGGTGTGGTGAGCCAGGGAGCGGAGTCCTCTTCTGGAGTCACCCTGCCTGCCCTAACTGACCCCTCCTGCCTGGGCCGGGATCTTGCTGGTCCTTCCCTAGGGCCCTGACTTTGGCTACGTGACCCGGAAGCTCCTCTTGTCTGGCGCCTCCAGCCTAGATTCCTTCGGCAACCTTGATGTCAGCCCGCCCGTGACAGTGGGCGACACGGAGTACCCCCTGGGCCGGATCCTCATCGGTGGCAGCTTCCCCAAGTGAGAGGCCAGCGGGGAGGGGACAGGGGCACATGGGGGTGATGGTAGCACCCACTCTGGAGGTCTGCTGGCCACCTTCACACATCAACACACAGTCTGAGAGGTGGGCTTACCTTCGTGTCTGATTCGAATCCTCTAGAGACTCAGACTCCTGAAATCTCAGATTTAAAAGGTTACAGAATCATAAGTGAGAACTAGAGACCCTGGCTCTTTAGGCCACCTAATTGCATGAGCTTAGTCACCAATGTTAAATACGTGCGTCGGGAGGCCCCAGAGAGAAGGCCAGATTCCTGGCTCTCTGGAGCTACGGCCGAGCTGCAGGGGTGACACGCCTGGCAGAGTGGGAGAAGGGCTTGGTGGTGTCTCCCACCAGGAAGCCAGGGTAGCTGCTGTCCTAACAACAGCTGGAAAGGTCCAGAGGTCACCCGGGCCCAGGACAGCTGGCTGAAGGTGAGTGAGTGGTTGGATGCTAGATGGCTTAGTGGGTCCCATCCCGGGCAGGGCACAAGGCACTTAGGGCTTAGTGCCCAGACAGGTGATGACATCAGCTACACCCCCCCAAATGGATCCACACCCTGCCTGGAGGTAAGGATGAGGGAATATTTCTCAGGATCCTGCTGCAAGCTCCAGGGGCCACCTGTCCATTTGTGAGGGGCTGGCATGGACCCTGGTTGTATCCAAACTTGCATGCCTGGCCCCAGTCGGCCTTGGATCCAGGGCCCAGGAGACTCGGGCAGCACTGGTGTTCGTGGTCTTGACGGACTTCGGTATTGCCGGCTTTCAGCTCTTAGTGTCCCTGGCTCAGCTTTGGTTTCTTTTGCTATTTGGAGCTAGAAATCATGACAAGGAACAAGTCTTTACCAGGTCTGGTGCTCGACACATGGGACAGGGAAACCTGGCTGCTCGTGAGGACTGGAGGAGTCAGGTTTACATGGACTGAACAGTGGGCTCGTGTAGGCTCCGCAGCTCTTTCACAGGACCCCAGGAGTTCTGCACACCGCAGTTCTGTTGTCACCAGGGTCTGCTGTTGATTTGATGACCTACACCTGCACAATGGGCTCCTCTTACAGAGATGGCAGAGGCACTGGCCATGGTCACCCCAGGAAGGCCATCTGTGGGTGGAGCTCAGGCATAGGGAGCAAGTGGGGGGTTCTGGGAAGCTTGGGGGAGGAGCCAGCAGCTTCTGAACACGTCCCTGGTGGAAACTGCCACATGGAGATCACTTGTGATGTACCATGGAGTCCTTCAGGCAGGCGACATAATTTACTGCCGTGCCATCCCTACTGGGGTAGGTTGATCCTGGTCTTTGTGTGACAGTTGGGGAGGCTGAGGCTAGGAAAGGGAAGCTGCATGTGGCTTCCTGGCACAGTTCAGGGCCCTCCTGCCCATGACGTCACCTCAAGAGGCAATCAGCAGCCTGGGGCTCTGGATCAGGATAGGAGAAGTTTCCTAGGTAACCAGGATGCTGAACTGGGTGGCCAGGCCTGGTGCCTGGGGAGGGAGGAGATGCCCACCTGCTCATGATTATGCCCGGACTGGGTCCTGCCCACACCCAGGGGCTGAAAGGCCTTGGGACCCTCAGATGGTCTTCCTGTAGCCTCATGGAAGGATGCATCAGTCCGGTGAGTCAGATAGGCTTGGGCTTGAGTCCTGGCTGTGCTATGTACCTGCCAAGTGATTTGGGAGCTTGCCACAGTGCCCAGCACATAGGAGGTGCTCAATTAATTCATTAAAAAAATATGTATGGTATGCCAGGCACAGTTGAAAGTGTTAGGGATATGTTCCTAAGCAGTGTAGTGCATTTTAAATAAGAAATGTATTTTATATCCCATGCCTCAGTTTTCTCCTCTGTAAAGTGGGCCTAATAAAAAAATCTCTGTAATAGTTATGTAAGATATAGATAGCTAGATAGATATAGGCATAGATATATCCCATAATCTGATAGCATGATGGAGGACAAGGAACTCATTAAATTGCCTTTCCAGGGCTTATGAAATGTTCAGTTTGCCTCCAGCCACGAAAGCAACATAAAGAACTGGGGGGGGGGGCAGTTTTATGACTACCTACTGTGTGGCCTGCACATGATGTGTTACTCAATTCTCTCACTTAATCCACCAGCCCTGTTGGGTCAGGACTGTTCCTAGCCTTGAGTTACAGGTGAAGGAGCTGAGGCTCAGACACATGCATCCCCTCCTGCACTCAGCTAAGATGCATTCAGTACATGCTTATCAGGACTTCCTATATGCCAGGCCTGGAGTCTGGCTAGGGATGCAGAGATGAGGAACCCGCCCTGGAGCTTGTAGTGTGATGAGGGAGACAGGCTTGCAATTTCTCCCCATGAGATCAGAGGCCCAGGCATCAGTGGAGGGAGCTCTGCACATGGGGACACTGACAGGTCAGCACCAGGTATGGCCCTGCAGGTGCAGGCTGGGTGCTTCTTGGCCGCCTGCAGCCATTGGTCAGGCCCAGGCGCTCCCCACCCCCAGCAGCCTGTGAACCCCGAGCAGCAGGTAAGAACGAGGGGGGAGGCCTCTCTGGGCACCCCAGGCTTCGCTGGCAGCTTCCTATCTAGGACCACACAGCATGTTAGTGGTCCAAGCAGAACCCAACTCTTCTGTCCTGTGGTCCCAAACTAAAACTTAGCACCCCAGGATGCTGTCCTGAGCCTTTTCCGCGACTTTTTCCTTTATTTTGTTTTGCCTCTTTGAGTCAGGGTCTCGCTGTGCAGTTCAGGTGGTCTTGAACTCACTTGGTAGCCCGGGCTGGTCTCAAACTTGCAGGGCTCCTCCGGCCTCAGCCTCCTGAGCGCTGGCATGACAGGTGTGTGCAACCATGCCCATCCTTTTCAGTGGCTTCTGGGCTCAGTAGTGAACAGAAACCTGTGCACGTTCTGGCAGGATGGACAGGCAGTTCACAAGCACAGCCAGCAAGTAAGTCGCATGCGCCTCTGACGAGCAGATGGAATGTGGATGCGTGAATGAACGCATGCAGTTTCTGCTGCGCTTCAACGTCTTTGGCCAGAGAGCAGGCACAGCGCGGAGATAAGGTTTAAGTGAGGTAACCCGGCTAAAGCACTATCTGCCTGGCACACAATAATTTTTTGCCTAC